GCCCTTCAAGTTTTGGCGGTGCTCTGGAGCGCACGAGCAGTTTGCGAGAATCGAGAGAGCGATTGAGTACCGCAGAGAGGCCATTGAGCTTCTCTGGCACGCCGTCCAGCCTCACCACTCTTCCCGATATTCCCGTGCAGAATGAGCGAGCTCCCGGCGCCTTCCGTGACCCCGCAAACCCGAGGGCATCTGGATCGTCCGTTGTCTCGGCTCGTGCGCTGAGCAGAAGCCCAGCTACAAGCACGCAGGGCAGTGCATCTTCGCCATCGCCACCTCCGATGGAGATGCATTTGGGATCAATCCTCACCGAGGGGCGCGGAGAGGGTAGAGCCGCTGCATTCTGGTCATTCGCGGAGGTGTGCACGCGATCCACGGTTGTGCGACATGTGGCGCGGCTACCAGATTGGGTGACTGCACGAGCGGAACCTCGCGCGTGGGGTGAAGTTCCGCGCGAGGCGGTGGTTATCCCACTCTCGTCATCTTCATCGCCCTCTCCCGGCGGCGATAATAGCGAATCTGAAGCTGATATCCCGCCGATCGACAGCGGGAATGAAGTCGATGGCACAGCCAGCGCGGTGCTTGTGCTGGGTCTCAACAGTCGGCGACCATATGACGCGTCGTATGCCGCGTTTGTCGACCTCTTCCGGCTGAGTCTCAACGCGCTCCTGACCGCCGTTGCGGGTCGCGAAGCAGATGGTGCACGGGCGCGGCAGCTTGCACAGCTCGACGAGGCCAAGACTGCGTTTTTCAGTAATGCGAGTCACGAGTTCCGCACACCGTTGACGCTTATCCAAGGTCCATTGGAGGACTGCCTGACGATGATGCAGGGGGAGAGGAGGCGAGAGAAAGCCACTGAAAAGGGTGGGAGTAAAGACGGCGCAGGCGAGAGAGATAAGGTGATGAGTAGGTTCAAAGAAAGGGAGCGCGCGGTGCGCGAAAGGCTTTCGATGGCGCTACGGAACGTTGCGCGCTTGAAACGACTCGTTGATTGCCTTATGGACTTCTCCAAGCTGGCCGCGAACAGGCTCGAGGGTCGGTTCCGCCCCATCGTACTGGGGCCGCATACAGCAGACCTCGCAAGCTTATTCAGGAGTGTGATAGAGCGAAGCGGAATAGAGTATGATGTGAAATGCGACGGTGCCGAAGATATGAGCGTATACGTTGACCCCGAGTACGTCCCATCTTCGGACACCCGCATTCTGCTTGACGTGTTGACTCTTGCGAACTTTGCAGTTTCTGGGAAAAGATTGTCTTCAATCTCATCGGTAACGCGTTTAAGTACACGATGGCGGGAAAGATATCAGTCTGCATGGAGGTCAGGGACGGTTATATGCACTTCAATGTGCGCGACACTGGTGTTGGTATTCCGCCGGGCGACATCGACAAGGTCTTCGACCGTTTCCACCGGGTGAACTCGGTTGGACGCTCGCACGAGGGTACCGGTATCGGGCTCGCACTGACTAAAGAGCTTGTTGTGCGTGTATAAACATTTTTGAACGAGTAACGGCAATGCAGCTAAACGATTACTATAGATCCTGCACGGAGGCAGACTGACACTCACGTCGCTCACGGCCGATGATGCACCCGATAGCCATGGCTCGACGTTCACAGTCTCTATTCCTCTCGGAAGCGCTCACCTTCCCGCCACTCATGTATATGATGCCACGCCGCTGGTCTCTGAGCAAGACGAGGGCGCGCATAGACGATACGGCCGAGGCATTGTAGACGAAGCCGGGCGCTGGGCGTCTACATCAATGCCTGTTCCTCATCTACCTGCCACAGCACCGTCCGGGTCTGATGCGGGCGACTCTGGTTCGTCCAGCGACTCAGGGAAGATCGACCCTAACACACTATTCTTCGTCAAGAGCGACCGCATACTGCTCGTAGACGATAATGCGGATATGCGGCGCTACATTGCCGCACTACTGCACCCATATTGCACCGTGCTAGAAGCTATCAATGGGCAGGACGCCCTCGAGGTTCTTGATAAGTTACGAGCGGAGGAGGATGCACTAGACGGTGATCAAGGTATAGCACGCGGTGCGCACAAGCGCATGCCAGATTTGGTTATCAGTGATGTGATGATGCCCATACTGGATGGCCTAGGGCTTATTGCGCGTCTGCGTAACCGTCCAGACACCCGACTACTACCCATCATCCTAGTTACGGCCAAGGAAAGCGAAGAGGCCCGCGTGGAGGGTTTGCTAGGCGGTGCGGACGACTACTTGTGCAAGCCGTTCACCGCTCGTGAGCTTGTGGCGCGGGTGCACCTACAGATGCAGCTTGGAAAACGTCGTGTAGAGCTTGAGAGGCTCTTCAGGGTCCGCACGCGGGAGATACAAGTCCTTAGCGATCTGAGTCCTGTGGGCATTTTACGCGCAGACGCGGACGGGCGCACAACGTACGCGAATGCACGCTGGCGCGAGATCAGCGGGAGCGAGGGAGAGGACGATGAGCTTGATTGGCTCTCTTCAGTTGCGGAGGGTGCGGAGGCTGCATTCGACGCTTGGGGAGTGGCGCTCGACGAGCGACGCGGAGTCAGCGCAGAGTTTCGCTTCCGCAATGGGAAGTACGCGAAGGGCCAGTTTGAGCCTCTCGTCTCGGAGCAAGGAAGCTGTGCGTCGCTTTCCAGTCTACGCTGTCCGCACGTTAACTATCAGCTAACATAAAGCAGTCGCAGGGGTCATTGCCACTCTCACGGACCTATCCGAAACGCGAAGATTCGAGCAGGTGCGGTTGGCGCACGCTGAGGAGCGCGCAGTCACCGCTCGCAAACAAGCCGAAGAGGCGGAGCGTGCCCGGATTGAGGCGGACGAACGCCGACGTGGGCAGGAGCTATTAATTGACGTGACGAGCCACGAGCTGCGACAGCCCGTAAGCGCTATCCTGAACTGCTCGAGCCTTGTCCGATCCAATCTTGGCGGGCTATACGCCGAGCTCACTCGTGGTGTTCCCTACACACCCTCCGAATCAATGCTCAAGCTCGTTCGTGATGATCTTGATGCGCTCGATGCGATCTATCAATGTGGACTTGCGCAGGAGCGCATCGCCAACGACGTGCTCAGCTTGAGTCGCATTCAGCTTGAGGTGCTAAGCATCTCGCCGGTCGACTTTGATCTCGTAGCCGAGATGAGACGCATCGTCGCGATCTTCTCAAACGAAGTCAAGATGAAGGGCATTACTCTCGAGGCACGGCTTGACGCATCCGTGCAGTTTCTGGGTGTGCAGAATGTACGCTCTGACCGAGCGCGCTTTGGGCAGATCGTCACGAACTTGCTGTCTAACGCGATCAAGTTTACCGACACGAGCGTCGGGAAGCGCGATATCACTGCGACACTCTTTGCATCACGTCACGCGCCGCCAAATGGCGAGCCATGCGTACCGCCGACTGAACCTGAGATTCCGTTTTCACCTACGGAGCTTCCTGCCGACATATATCTGTACTGTGCGGTCAGGGACTCGGGACCTGGTCTACGTCCAGATGATTTGGCTCTGCTGTTCCGCCGCTTTCAGCAGGGTTCCAACTCGCATAACGTATTCGGTGGTAGTGGGCTTGGGCTCTTCGTCTCGCGCAAGCTCTGTGAGCTTATGGACGGCAACATTGACGTCAACAGTGTATATGGCGAGGGCGCGACGTTCCGCTTCTACGTCAAGGCACAGGCATTACCCGGGGAGCCCATATCCCCTACGTCGACGCCTTCAGCGTCTGCGAGCCCATCAACGTCACCGTCCGTTGGCATAGTAGACGTGCATGTCCTCATTGCAGAGGACAACCTGATCAACCAGACCGTCTTGAAGTGCGTTTACCTTTCTCTGTTCCTATGTATCATTCTGATGAGTGCCGCGTACCCCCAGTCGACAGCTCACCGCGCAGGGCTTCATTACGACCCTTGCAAATAACGGCCAGCAGGCGCTCGACAGCATTCGCGCGCGGGCGGCGGGGGGTCACGGTCCGCCCCGACGCTTCGACGCCGTATTGATGGACTGTGAAATGCCCGTCATGGATGGACTCAGCGCTGTGCGCGAGATTCGTCGTCTGGAGGCCGCCGGAGAACTTGCAGGTCCTCGGAATCTTGTCTTTGCTCTGACGGGAAACGCACGCGCGGGCCAGGTGCAGAATGCCCGAGACGCGGGCATGGACGATGTCATTGTGTGTTTTCCTTCTCCCTTTTCAACCTCTTCTCTCTAGCAGGCTAACACACTCCTCCCAGATCAAGCCATACAGGCTTGAGCAGCTGGTGACTGCCATAACGGACGCAGTTGCTCAAGGTCGAAAACCAATCAATACATCTCTCGAAGTTACGCCGGAAGCGCCGCGCGAGGCTGGTCGAGAAGCACTCACATGACGGGTTTTTCACCGGCGCAGATGGGGGATGGTATGGGGTCCTCGCAGTTTGCTGCTACTCTCCGCCGTTGTACTCGGGTCTTCGAGCCTATGGATGCAGTATCTGCGCCGGTGACGTGCTTTAAGTATGCCCTGCGGTCGGCCACAGACCCGACTTTCTTCGCTCTTGATGCACGCCTTCGCGACGAAGCGCTGCCACGAAAACCTCCTTGTTTCACCCGCATCTCTTCTCGCCCAAGGACTCCATCTTTTCAGTCTCCCTGCGTTCACGATCCATACAACTGTGCAAGCTTCTGTATCATTACCCAGCCCATCTCTTACTATCTGTGCCTACATTCTCCAGTCTGTGTAGTTCATATTCTTTTGGTCACCATTCCTACTGCCATCATCTCGCGTTTCTCGGTTTGCTGCATAGATAGTGTCCAAGTATCGTATTGCAATTCTTCTTACGGCCTTTTCCATAATGTTCACCTTGGTCATTGGTTTGTCATGCTGAATGGCGCGCTGTGCTGGTGCAGTTGATCAAGAGTCGACAGTGAGCCGCCGGATCACTGAGTTCAGGTCATTCCAGTGTCCCGTCTCCCCAGGTTTGCTGTTCCTCAAGCGATTGAGCATTGTGGTGTGCTCTGAGGTATGGTCTGGAATCCAAAGTAATGGACCCTTAGTTCAGTGGTAGAATATCTGATTCCAGTGTGGGCTGTCCAGAAGGTCATCCGTTCAATCCGGGTAGGGTTCATACTTTTGAACTCGGATAAAATATCGAACTCGTTGAATGCTCTACGCCGACATTTTTTCGATACATACCCAATTATTCATAGCTCGAGACCTCCAGATGTCCTTCTGTTCGCCTGGGATACTAGTAGGGTTCATCCATTTTCTGGATCGAATCTTCATACAGCGGTTTGCACAAAGATTGGCAGTACCGTAACCTTACATGATAGATGTCCTGCTGAAGAGCAAGGGAAGGTTTTTACCAGCTTCTCAATCTGAGATACAGACACAAAAAATGCATTATCAGTGAATACAACAGTACCGAGGAAGTGTAGATGTCCATTTCAAGTCCATAATGTCCAAAGACCAAACGTGTTCGTGAAGAGTCGTTATGCACTTAGCACTGAGCCTGACCGCCCTGGACGCTCGCAGAGTACTGGAACTGGACAGAATGTCAGATAAATTCCCTTGTTCAGAAAAGTTGCCACATACGTAGTCGGCGACATTCATGTATGGAATGCCAGTGCCGGGGCAGAACGCCGTCCAGTCGAGAATGCGCTCGAAGTAACCGATGACCACGTTGGCATTAGACGGGTAAGGGCCACCGACACTCGAGAGCGTGCCGTAGTAGGCGTCAATCTGGTTAGACAGCATCAGCCGTCCGTTGACCTAGAGAATGTGCAAGGTACGTACAAAGTTCTGCTGCGTCAGAGTCTTGCCATCGGTGGCGATCTTGCCGAAAAGCGAGGTGGAAAGGCGTGGCTCGTTGACAGAGGCCGGAGCCGGGGAAACACCCTTTACACCGGAAACAGCAGAAAGGAAGCCATCAACAGGGCGTTGGCCGCCAAAGCAAGTTGCGCCTAGGACACAAGCCTCGACCGACCACGGGTTGGACACCTTCGGGTCGACCTGAGCTATGCACGTCGTAAACATCTTCTGGCAGCTGGCGTCGGAACTGATGACGGGGGTCGTAGTGGCGGGGGCAGAGGATGTCGTAGTAGTCGTTGCGGAGCAGCCGTTGCTACTCACGCTCGACGAGTACTGGTACTGAGATGGCAGGTCAGTTGAAAAGTCAAGAGGGCGGCGCCAGAGAACACACGTAGTCCGCAAAGTTCTGGAGAGGGATAGGCTTAGAGCAGAACGCAGTCCAATCTTGTAACTGCTCGTATAGGCCGATGACGTAGTTGACATCGGTAGGGTACGGGCCACCGGTTGCGTCGAGAGAGCTGTTCAGCTCGTCAACAACAGAGCTTAAACACCATCATACCACTGTCTCTTACGAGTAATAGCCGTCAATGAAGTTCTGCTGGCTCAAGGTCTTTCCATCCGTCGAGATAGAGTTGAAGAGCTACGACCGCGTCTGAGTACTCTCGCAACAATGCTTTTGAAAGATATACATACCGAACCGGTTACCCGCGGCAAGTTGACACTCGCTGGAGCAGCGCCGCTCTCGCCGCGGTCGCTGTAGACGGCAGCAAGGAAGCCGTCTACGGGATGCTGACCGCCGAAGCAAGATGCGCCAAAGATGCAAGCTTTGATGTTCCAGGCATCGCTAAGGTCGGACTTGACCGCCGCGGCACACGACGTCTCAAGGGCACGGCAAGAACCATTGTCTGCGGACTGACGCCTGGAAGGTGCGGCGTAGGCAGAGAGAACAAAAGTGAGGAAGAGGGTAGTCGTCGCGATCATGACGGGGAACGTGGCGAGATGAGCCGAGAGAGAGAAGTGAATTCAACTGGGGATCTGTGCTGCAACTCACCGGTCTTTATACCGTACAATGAAAGCTGGAACTCGTCGCGTCTAGACGCCGATCCTTCCAACGTGATCGTACCCAGTGGGCACATTTCGCCTTCCTGTGCTTCAGGGCCCGCCACAAGCCATGCGCACCGGTCAGTACGGCGGTCATCCGGGGCCGTAGGTTTGAAAGTTCGTAGAGCAGTGGGCTGTTCTTGGCTAACGACGTACTCGTCGGAGCTTTCATTTCAAACTAGCGTCGTCACGAGCTCCGTGAGCAATGTATGCTTCAGACTCACAATTAAAAGCAGTAAGCGCAGCGCATCGGGGATGTAGGGTGTTCGTACGATGTACGTGCTGTTCTTATCCGACGTGTAGCGGAGACTCGCAGACGGTCGATTCATGAACAGTCCCTCCCTGTCGACAGTAAGAGGAAGATAGGTATTGGGCGCGTCTCTTCGGACCGGATGACCATTGACCACATGCAAGGAAGGTGCATTGCATGTTGAAACCAGGAATTGGGCGTCTGCCTGAGACGTAGACGGCTTCGTCTTTCCGTGTCTGAGTGGACTCTGCGACGAGATGCCGATGCTGTTGGTCCCGCGCACGCTCTACGAACGGGTACGATAAGGGTCTGGCCAGCGGCTGGCTGAAGCAAGATGAAGGCAACTCCCTACATGAAACGTGTAAGCAAGCAGAGAACCCTCGAGTCTTGGCTCGGCGAGTTCGGCATCTACCGTAACATTCCCACAAAGTTCTTCCATCAGGCCATCGCCAGGCCTGGTCGAGTCCCGCTCGACCATCGGTCACGACGCAGGACGCACGAAGCGTCATGCAAGTTCAAGCATCATGCTCGTACGCTCTACTTGATATGTTATGCCAACCGTTGATTATGATACTCGAGGTAGCTTCCAAGACTCACAAATCGCCGTGTGGCTGCTCTTGCGGCTCTAAACGCGGTATCTGGATATCGGATACGATCCACATACCAGAGGGGCCAATCGCACAGACCTCGATACTCTGTCTAATGCTCATTCCCGCCTCAACGGGTGACCGCCTTGTATCCATTTCATCCCGTCTTGCAGCGCAGTCAACTCGCTCGTTTTGATTCCCAGGACATGGGAGAGCGGCACGTAAGAGCACATCCTACGAGCGCGTCGTTGTAGTACATACATACAAGCAGTCGTCCAACGCGAGATCAAAAAAGACCCGCCGGAAGCACGTTACGCCTGGCGCGCTACACTTACTTCCACAGCGCAGTGTATCATCTCGGAAGAACCGCACTAACTAGCAGAGAAAACGATGATATAATCAAGGAGTGACAAATGGCAGTACGAAAAAGCCAGCGAGATACAAAGATCGCGAATGTTCAATGAGTTCCAATGTAACGAGGGGAGCACGGGTGTGAGTATAAGTATTAAGAACTGTGCGGCACTGTGCATATTAAACGGCGGTCGCGGTGGCCGCAGGGGCCGCAGGAGTAGCAGTCGCAGAGTCCCTATCGGTTGGGAAAGGGTCCGACGTCGGAGCAGCCGTGCTCAAGGCGGAAGAGTCGATGATAGTAGTGGTTGCAGCAGGAGCACTGGTAACCGCGGGAGTAGTCGAAGAGTCCTGATCGGTTGGGAAAGGGTCTGACGTCGGAGCAGCCGTGCTCACGATGATGGTGGAAGTCACGCCGCAGTTCGAGCTGCTGACACTTGACGAGTATTGGAACTGCAAGGACCGTGAGTGAGAGACCTGATTGTTCAAAATATGTCGACGTACGAAGTCAGCAAAGTTTTGGAAGGGAATCCCCACGCCGCAAAACGCCGTCCAGTCTTGCAGCCTCCCAAACAGATCAATGACATACTGAACGTCAGTCGGGTATGGGCCACTGGTCGCATCGAGGGACCTGTTGAGGACAATACCGCGTCAACGACCCTATCGCGCGAACGAGACGACAGGAATTCTTACGAGTAGTAACCATCGATGAAGTTCTGCTGAGTCACAGTCTTGCCGTTGGTCGAAATGGAGTTGAAGACCTACAGATCCGATTGAGCACCTCTCCTTCAGTGAATGTAGAAGATATACTCACTGAGGTCGTCACTCGCGGCAGGTTGACACTCTGCGGGGCTGGCCCGCTCAAGCCTCGGTCGTTGTGAACGGCTGCGAGAAAGCCGTCCACAGGAGTCAGGCACGTCGCACCAAAGATGCACGCTTTGTGATTAAAGACGTCGCTGAAATCGGCCTTGACCGACGCGGCGCAGGTCGTCTGGAGGGCACGACACGAGCCATTGTCCGCAGACTGAGACTGACGCTTGGAGGGCGCAGCGAAGGCCGAGATGGCGAGCGAGAGGACGAGAATGGAAGCAGAGAACATGACAGGAGGCAACAGGGAGAGAACTTGGGCAAGCGAGTGAACTCGACTAAGGAACCGCGTTGCGGTGTGCTGGCTTTTATAGAGTACGGGCAGTTTATACGATGTGCTCTCAGCGTGGTCAGTTCGGGTCAGCAGTGACCCTCTTACTATGTTTGGTTGCCGGAGTATGCAAACGGCACGTATCTGTGAATACAACGGTCAGACGAGACCGTCGTCTCTATCAGCTAGGTTTAATCTTCAAGCAGAGTGTTGTCCTTGGCACTGACGGTTGCGCTGTAGACCAGCGTCAAAAGTTCACGGAAGCGATGGACGCGAGTTTATTCCGATCCTGCGATAGGAACAAACACTATCCGCCGTGGGTAAAGGGGACATACGCACAGCATACATGATGCTGTAACTGAGCAACAGGCAAACCCACCTCACGCTATTCAGAGCAGCGGAAATTTCTCGCGTAGAAAGATCAACACCTAGTAGAACCGGAAGGTCATGTCCGAGCCCAATGTGCTTTTAAACGTTGTTTGACAAATGTGACCTCTCTATGAGATGGACGCATGGACGCATGACCTCGTGCCGCGGTGGCAGAGGACGATGGCCAGAACGTTCGAGCCGCGCGAACCATAGCGGTAGCTGAGACGATTTATATATTCGTACGAGCAGCTCGGTAGACATGAAGCGAGGCGTGATGACGGAGACAAATCGATATCCAGACCAAGGAGCATGGTGAGCGTTCTGGATAGAAGACCAGGTCCGGATTTTGAGTGCGCGGCATTTGCCGTCGTGTTTACCACGCTGGGGTCAGTACAGTGTACATCCATCGCTCAAGTTGTGTATTGCTTTGACTCAAGTGCACAGACGTCTTATTGACTCATGAATTCTTAGTCCTCTGGCGAGTAGACGCCTTCGAATCATCTCAATTTCGATAACCAGTACAC